GACAAATTGGACATTGTCCAAATGTCCAAATGTCCAAATTGTCCAAATGTCCAATATTATGATGTGTCATCTCTGCTTAATCTATTCAAATTTCTTATTGTAAATCTAGTTAGTTGCAGTATGTATGTTACAAAGATTCTTTTAACCAATGCAATAAAATTTTGAATTCTTAAATTTGTTAAATTGCTAATTTAACAAGTGTTCTCAAGCATCAACCTAGATGCGATTTCATAATAATCGAAATAGTATTATAACATACAGTATTAGATAAAAGTCAATAATATGAATGACAATATTACTGAGATATGTTCAAGCATTACTATTGCTGTGATTTTCTAATAATTGTGGTGATGCTTGATTGCAACAATAGATCAAAATAAAGAACTCAACCACTGCTTGAAAGGATTCTAAATAGTCTATCAAAAATGTGCGTTGATAAAGAAATCAATAATAAAAGTTTGAAAACCTTGAGCATTCACTTTAATAGTTATAAAATTTTGATAAGTCAGCGCAAAAAATGGTGGTTCGGCAAAAGGTTTTTTGATTCCCTATAAAAAATTTTCGAAAAACGTATCTCGACTTTCTCCAGATTATTGTTTCACTATCGTTCCGGAAAATGCTCATTTTTCGGAACAAACCATATACAAATTGCTGGTCATTTCATAGAATCCCGGTAAGCTTTGGGCAGAAATCAAATCCAGGTAAGATTCATCTTGATGACAAGCTCGATTGATACTTTGACCCGTCGATTGAGGCGTTTGAAAATGCCTAAGTCAACTATTTAAGTTTGTGTTCAATACTTTTGGTTTAATGTATAAAGATATTTTTTAATATTCTATGTATTTTAAGGAACTATCTAAACTTACAAATATTTATGTGTGTTTATTTAAACTCAGCATATCTATTCACTATTATTAAAAACGCGAGTTATATAATAAATTCATATTTTATTGGAAATATGTCCGAAATCACATGCAAGTTGGCCGGTACTGTCACAGGTTTACCGTGACAATTTATTTGGGATTGGATTGTACGTACGTACGTACGTACCTCACCAATTGTTCCTTGGGTTCGAGTGACGTTGCAACTATAGTTTCGTGAAACGTATTTTCAAAGGAAACATAGGTTCCATTCGTTGTAATATAAGTTTCCTTATAATCATTAATAATGTACCGTTCGATCCTAAGTCCTATCCAACATGAATTACTAAAAAAAAGGATCTTAAATAGCGCTTTATGTGTATCGGCCTCCCAAGTAATCGTACCACTTTTTTTTTACAATCGGAGGCTGAGTTACAATTATACATCCAATTATTCATGAGCCTTGAATTCAGTGGCTGTTATCAACATAAAAATGCGGCATTCATTTATACGCTATATGGACATAATTTGATAAACTGTGTTTAGATTTGTTTCGTATAAGCCGCATTACTGCCATAAAACAATAAAATGATTATCAAAGCCAGGTGTATGTTTTCTCTTGGCAATCTTATATTTCGTTATCAGAAGAAAATCATGTTTTAAGCTAGCACAATAGAGGCCTATATGGCTCGGCCGAAATAAAAAATAATTTGAAAGTCTTACATAATTGCGTCAAAAACATAGTAAAATGTGAACCGAACTTTAAATTTTATTTTGCAGGCCGTACGGACCGACAAAAGTACACATTTTTAGCCTGCGCAGGCCCCTACATTGTAGCATTAATGTGTATAAATAAAAAGATAAATGACAAATAAATTAATCATTTCTTACACTTTCAGATAAATGGATGGTTATATTGCCTTAAGTTTTTCTGTCTTGTGTGTTTTGTCACTTCTTTCAGTTCTATCAATTTCGTCAGGTTGTCCTTTCGTCATTTAAGATTTTAGATGAATTCTGTTTCACATTTTATTAGCACAAAACTCCAAGTTCGTTTAATAACCGTAAGTATGCAGCAATGAATAAATGACATTATTGTAACACGCTTTTTTGGACAGCCACTATACTATAAATATAAAAGTGGAAATGATGTATAAAATGAAAAAAATAAATGAAAAATAAAACAATTATGGATATAAGATTAAGCCACAGACAACAATTTAAGCACAACAACTTCATTAGTTATTCCGTATTTTAATTGTTTGATAAATCGTTAAACGATAAGGAATTATTTTGTTATGTCAACCGAAAATACTCAAGAATCTATTGTAAATATCGAAGAAGGAGAAAGTGTGAAAGTAAAAGAGCTATATTTAGCTATTAGTCCAAATGGCGATTTTGTTGTAGAATTTGGTAAAACTTCTACCGAATAATCTATTTATCTCTAAAATCCGTTCTTATGATTTATAATTATTATTTGATTTACAGTATTATTGTCAAGTGATTCAAGATTATGGGATTTTGAAGTTCGCATGTATAATGTGATTGTTGAGAATTCGAAGAAAGATGACTACTTGGATCTGAAAGATGGCAAAAGATTATCTTACAGAAAACTTTCTGAAATTGCTACATCTAAAAAAGGATTTACAAAAGAGCAATCAGATTTGATTACATTAAAAGACAAGCTGGGTTGGTCTGTTGCTGTGTCAGATAGACTCAAGTCACACAAATCAACTATTAGATTATTAGCGATATCCTGCATAAGCAAAGAAGATATGACACGTACGCGTAATGGTTCTAATTACACAAGGACCCTGGATTTACTATCGTTTACTCAATTAATAAAGATCATTCAATTAGTGAAACAAAGATAAGTCTTGATAAATATGGTGGAATAGTCAAATTATTTTCAAAAAATGAAGATAGCGAAAAGACAGATAAGGATAGCCAAAATATTGATAAAAATACCAATGAAGATAATTCTCAATATATGAATAAATACTTTCTTGTTATTTTAAATGCCTCCGGGATTCATAAACATCACTTAAACACTTAAATAAACCGATTGACAAAGTTGAAAGTTTAAAATATCCAAAACGAATAGATAAAGCTTTAAAAAAAAATATTAAATTCAAATTTAATCTGAAATATATTCTACGATGTTTAAATAAGCATTATTTTTTAGTAGATACTACAGATGAGGGTGCACAATATATGGAGCTATATGATTTAAAGACAAATCAATTAGTAAGCACCTTTAAGAGGCGAAATTTAAACAGCTTAAATCTCATAGCAGATATTTCTGATAATTTTGTAATATCACACAATAACAAATTATTAGCGTATAAATCTGGAACTCATGTCAAATTATACTTGATTGAATGTGGACTTGAGATAGCATCTATAGAACTTGAAACTGACGAAGCATCTTTTGATGACTATTTCTTGCATTTTTTTAACAATGATGAGAGATTATTAATATATCAATCAAAAAATAAATGGACTATTTGGGATATTTTCGGTTCAGTACATAAGTCAATTAAACTCGAAAATCAACTTGAGTTAGATCTTAAAATTGTAGGTATTTTATCCACGGCTAATTATTATCAATTGGAACGATCAAGCTCTTTTATAATCGTTGTTAAGAACAAAGAAAAAGAAAAAGAAAAAGAATTCTCCGAAGATAAGCAAATCTATGATGATTTAATCTCAGATTATACGTATTTAAACCGAAAAAGCGACAAGCAAGATTTGAAGACATTATCGCTAGATGAAAGCTTTGTAGAGCAAGTTACTACGAGCAGTAAAAAGTTTTTTATTTTAGACCTTGATAATCAAAAATCAGAATTAGATGGATATTATTGTATATTTGAGCCTTGGTTACTCGCATCTGATAACAAGGATGAGGAAAAAGAAACTCCACAATATTCAGTTTATCTCGACAAAAAAAAGGAAATTCTACTTTTGATTGGAAGTCATACAATTCAAGTTTGGCATGATCGAGCTAAAGATAATCGAGATAAACATGCTAAAAAAAGAACCCTTGAATTCATTAGCGTGATTAATAAGAATGAAAGCAAAAGTGATGATAGAAATGTTATAAAAAGAATCGAATATGCAATTAGAAAATTTAAACTTTCAATTCAATCCAAAGATTCTCAATCCGTAATTGAAATGGGAAGTGAAGATGACGTAATCTTTACTGTAAAAGAAGCTTGTTACACACTTAAATTTTTGTATGGTATATATCATGCAGAAAATCTTAGTTATTCTTTATCATTAGCTGTTGAAAGTCGCCATTCAAAATTTCAAGAGATAGTCAAACAAACACGAAATATTATTGTAAGATTTATTCAGTTATATCCGGTTACTTGGCGATTATTAAATGTTCACTTTGATTTATTGAGTATTCTCATTGAAGCAAAGGAACATCTGCTTATAAAACATATATTATTCAATGAAAAAAAGGATATTGATAGTCCTGAGAAACGCATTCTCAAAACTCTTGATTATATAGTATCCAAATTAGAAAAAAATGAAAAGAATAAACTTTCACATGATATAAAGCCAGATCAGGATAGTTTATTACATGAGAAATCACTTCATATGCCCCAATATTCTTCATGGGAAGGAAATGAAAATACGATTCGCAAGGCCCTTAAACTTTCGGGTTCGTTATTTAAATTCGTGCTATTAGCAGTAAATGCATTTTAATTATTAGTTAATTTGGTTCTTTTTATTAGGTGAGAATCCGATATATCTAGGATATTTATTGGAATATTATTCTAATAAAGCAGTTGAAGATATTGGGTGGATGGTTACTGTTGGTGAAATTTTACCAGAGTTATATGATGAGGATAAGGATAATGGTTAGTTGGAATTTTCTCGCTTAATTAACATGTAAATTGTCTCAAACATTTATTCTTTTTTTATATAGGGTTTTATAAGTCGTATATTCAGCTATTATTTTATAAACCTTGCTTTTGTGGAAAAGGATTGGATATACCCTTTTTTGACTTTCTTGTAATTCCACCAAGCATAAGTAATTCTTTAGAAGTTTTTATACCTATAACACAATTGATTCCACAGGATTCTGATTTAAATGTAGATGAAATCAGGTAATTTTCCTGAAAATGTTATCATCCGCTTCATTGCCTTTACTTTATTATTAATTCAATTAAATTTTAAATTTAGCCCTAATAAAACCCCTGATGTTCAAATGGTACCTTTAATTGATTTTGCAACGGATACTAAATCATCACTGGAAGTAAAAGGAAACATAATCATGAATTATCTGAAATCTATAGTTCTTCCGAGAAGATATTTACCTCCGGGAGAATGCCCTATTCCTTTTCTTTTTCTCATAGACAAAGTTGAAACTGATCATAATGATCCTTTCTATTTTAACCCATCCACAGAAGCCATTATGAATTTTATGTGGTATTCATCCAAATCACATTGGCTCAAATCATTATACATTTTTATAATTTACTTTATATCTTATTCGATTATTTCTTGGATGTATATTGCACACATTCAAGTTACCGGCGAATATCAACATGTTCTAGTGTTTATAACCATTATAATATTTGTTTATATAACTTATTATCATTTAATAGTTGAATTTAACCAACTGCGCTTCAAAGGACGGAAATATATTAGTGATCTTTTTAATTGGGTAGATCTTTTTGCAATTTTATTACCACTTTCTATTTCTGCTTATATTTTGATTAAATATTATACTTTTGAAAATGGGTTTAAAGATGCTGAAAGTAACATTTTTTTGGCATTTTTAATTTTTATAAGTATTTTAGGTATTTGGTATGAACTCGTAAGTATATAGTTTTTTTCTTGCTAATTATTTACAATATATAAAAATTTTTTATTGTTTAAATTATTATTATTTTAGATTTTATTGTTACGTATCTTTCCAGGTATATAAGTATTATGCATTTTAATCATATCTTTAAGTTTGCATAAGCTTACACACGTGTATTTATATATTATTTAGGCTTCGCACATTATCTAAATATACTTTACAATATTGTTGTTGATATACGGTTGTTTTTATTATTTTTTGCTTTAACAGTAATCGGAATGGTAGATTCTAGTTTATTATTATTCTTTTACAATATTTATATATAATTACTTATATTTAATTTATTATACCTTCCTTTTTAGGGGCATGCTTTGTAAGTTCATTATTAACCGAAAATACTCGGATTTTTAAAATTTGTATTAATTTTATATATTTTAACTTTATACAGATTTATTTTTCTTGGCTATGCATCTTACATTGGATTAAGTGAATCTCCATCAACATATGAGGTTTCTAATGGAAGTAATATAGTTTATAATATGACTGGACAAGAACCGGATGATATATTTTCGGATCCTTTTACTGCTGTAATTGCTGCATATAATTGGGATTCAATCTCGTTAGATGCTTGGGGATTTTGGCCTCTTATTATAATCGCCGTGATTGGTAATATTGTTTTTGTCATTATATTACAAAATGTTATTATTTCATTTATGAGGTATGTTTAAATAATATATTAGTTATTACTGTATTCTACGAAAAACATTACTTGATTGAAATTATTAATAATAATCTCTAATTAAAAGCGCAGCTTTTGAGAGTGCTGATAAAGATGGAAAACGAGCTGTACTCAATTTTCAAAGTCGTTTAATTTATGATTATGCACGTCTTGAAGATTCTGCTTTCACTTCAGGAAATAGTGATTTTGATACCAAGCTTAAAAATAAATTAAAAGTGAAATATATATGCTTTTATAATGAACCATCGATTACAAAAGCATGGAAAGATGAATCCAAAGAATGGGAATCAAGTCCAATCTATTTAAATGCTGAAAGTCAAATTCAATCAGAAAATGAAAGCAAATTTTTTATTGAAAATGAAGACATTGAATTTATTTGGGCTTCAGCGGAAAAAAGGCAGTAGAGACAATAAAATTAATAGATAACAATGGTAAGATTAGCATCAACAATATATATTATTACATTTATTCCCTAAAAATAGGCCAAACTTATTAAAATATTTATTTGATGCTTTAAGAAATTATTTTATTTATCCTTTTAATAAATATAATAGAGTTTTTTTTATAAAGAATTAATGCTAGCTACATTCTACATCATAATTTTTTATTAATATAGTTTTAGATCTCTTTATTATAAGTTATGATAATTTAACAAAAGTATAATTATAAAATTTAACTAGAATTTTTAAAAGGTTTCTAAATTAATTTTGTCTTATGCAATTTATAAATGCAGTCTTTATACTTTTTCTAAATGCGTCCGTAGATTTCCACTATCTGCAAATTTAGCACAACACGTCTGGGCACCTAAATTTTATTTAGAAAAAAATAAATAAATCTTACAGTACAATTATCAGATTAAATTTCATAATTAAGTTTTCATTAGAGATGCTGGTAAATTAAAAATAGTAATGAAATTATTTACCTTTATATCTTTGTCCAGGCTACTATTAATGTTTTACATAGTGTATATACTTTGCAAAATTCAGAATTACAAATAATTGAATACTGTCAAATTCTAATTGAAATTACCATTTTTAAGCTTAAAACATTTCAGAGCCTTTAGCGATTTCTGCATACAACTAAATAACTAACACCGGTCCCATAATGAAATATCAATAGCCACAGCTAGCTCAATGATTTTTGGTGCATATCTGTTACCTATCAGCTTGGTGTGTGTTGCTTTTAAGCAACATATACAGTATACTGTATAAGATATCAACAAGAATATAGCTTCCTGAGATTTACACAATATTTACAGATGTTTATATAAACCTTCTGTAATTTCTACTCAGCTTATAAGACATATATTCTAGATTAGGGATGGGCAAAATTTTTATATATTCTTACATATTCTTAAATTTTGTCGTAATAAATAATTCTATTTAAATACAAACTAGATGTAAGACCCATCTTTAAACGACGGTTGTATTTAAGCATAATAGTCTATCTTAAGAAATCAATATATGGGTGACGGGACATGAAAACCTGTAAATCATTTCACTCATTATCATTGTAGTGATATCTACCCCTATAAGAATTAATGATACATAACGCTACGATGATAATATGAAATGATTTACAGGTTTTCATATCCGTCACTCATATTAAGTAGCTAGTATGAATTTAGTATGCTACCTTGACCCGCCGTTTAAATTAGTGTATGACTTTATAGCATGCATATCCGTAATTATTAAAAAAGCAAGTTATTTGATTTTTCGTTTTGCATTACCTGCCGACCCATTTTTTCAATGTTTCATCTTTTATTTTTATTTTTTTTAAGCCATAATTAACTTTCGTGGCCTTAGATATGAGCATAAAACAATTAATTTACAGTAGATTAAAATAAAAAAAATCTGACCCGCCAACTAGAGTCTTAGAACACCAGGTTATGCAAAAAGAAAAATTAACTTTGTGTGGCCTAATACGTATTAATTGAATATATATAAAAAGAAAATTTATTCTTAGCTCATTATTCTTAGCTCATTGTTTCATTGCATTTTATCAGTTTAGATAAAAATAAATTTAGGTTCTCAAGCATCTCCTTCTATGGTTAATAAAATTATCTGGTTGGTTGGTTGAAAAAACGCATTGTGTTTAATCATATCGATCAAAAAACTTGAGTCCAACAACCATCTTTTTTTTCAGAGCTACTCTGATTGGCTAAAATTTAAAATCCGCATTTGCATAATGAATTTCCGAAAAATCGATATAAAGATAATTTCTATTAATCGAAATGATTGAGCAGCATCTTGATCACTAGCAAATCTCATTGAGGGAGCTGCTTGAGAACAACATTGGTCTAAGCTTCGAAAATAAATCCGCCATACAGCTGATTTATATTTTATTAAATTTAGATATAAGTATTGTCAGAACTCTAGATAATAACAATGATTATTTTATAGTACTGTACATAGCACACAGAATCATATGATTATTTGGTAAATGCGCGCACGCTTCACAAACTAACAAAAATTTAATGCATACAGTCCGCATACGTACAACCTCCTTAAATGCATTATCTCTCTAAATGCAACTTCAAACCCTTGCCCAAAAATATTTCTAACCCCATAACTACAATTATAATGCAATTTCGCACTTTTTTTTATTTGTCACAAATAAATGTGATATACAAATTATGTGACATAATATGCGTACTAATAAAATAACTATCGAGATTTTTACTCAAAAGTCAATAGTAAATTATCGTTCTTTTCGAATTATTATGACCCTCAATGATCACTATTACAAGAAATTCCAAAAAATCTTGACATTTTTAATTAACTTGTCTAGAAATAAAACTTCTCAAGATTCCTCATACGATAATATTTCGGCTCTACAGTATTATGCATCTTTAGTAGTACCATTAGAACGGTAATTCTGCTTTAAAATTCCCATTTCGGATTTCTTCTGTGATGATGATCATAGAGAATTACTATAAAGAATGTCACGGCTGTCTATTAAAATTAATTAAACTTAACAACAATCCTAATCTAATCCTAATCTGACTCTAAAAAAAAAAACACTTAAACTTTCTTTGAATTCATCCAAAGAATGTAAAAATTGCAACATAGTAAATAAATGTAATATTATAAACAAATCATTTATTATAAAACCGAGAAAAGGTTATTATGGTTCCACATTCAATTGAGATAAGCAAAATTTTGAAATTAATGTTCTTAATTTGGTAAATATGTTTGACAACGATCTAAAAATTGCACCAACCTAATTACTGTATGAATTAAAGTTTGTTAAGTAATTATGAATTTATCGTAATAATTAATTTCCACAATGGATAATATAATAATTCTTTGTTCTTGTGAGGTAACATATGCTATTATCTAACACACATACAGCATTTACGTAACAATTTATTTATTGCAATTTAATTCTTCCAGATCATTGCTAAAAAAGGAAATATTTATAAAAATTGGTTCTTATTTTGGCATAAACCCATTTATAAATAGTGTTGACTTCTGATAGTGCTGTATTGTTGAATTTTAAATTGATTCTTTGATTAATATTTAATTTTCATTCCGTGCGGCATCTAAGCCTTTGGTTAATGATGAGGAATCCAAAGACAAAATTTTTAATCAAAATTATTTTTTTCGTAACCATTTTCATATGTAATGTAATTGGTAGTTTTATACCGGAAGGCCGAGCTGGCCAAGAAGCAATATTAATAGGAACTCAATTATATTTTATGGGAGGATCTCGTACAATTCCATCCTCGAATCCTATTAAGAGCAATATAAGAGGATATAATTTATCGGATGAAGTCTTCTTCTTGGATCTTTCAAGCGCTTTCTCTACAAATAATCCACCATTTGTGGATCTTTCTGATGCTGGTGCACGAATGGAATTTGGAAATGAAAAAGGTAAGTAATTAGCTATTAAGGCACTTACAGTATCAAATATGCTCATATTTCTTATAAAATTAGGGTCAGTAGTACTCGGTGGAGCAAACAAGGATAATGTGTATCTCGTTGGAGGCACACAGCAAGACCTTGCACTTCTTAATAAAGATGATCAGAATAAAACGATAACCTCGAATCAAACGTTAATGATAGAACAAATATTTAATACTTACAACGCGACGGATCAAATGATTTTTCTTTATAGACCTGCATCACGAGCTTGGAGTACGCTTGGGCAAGGAGTTATCGGAACTCAACCGACTAGACGTAGAACAACTTCAACAGTTATTGATCAGAATGGAAAAATATATATATTCGGAGGAAGAGTTGAATTTGATATGTTTTCGCATACACTTATTTTATACAATGATTTATATACTTTTGACACAACATTGATAAAATGGGAAAAAATTGATGCAGCTAATGCACCTTCGGCTCGAAGTCATGCTACTCCAATATTACTTCCAAGTGGCAAGATTCTTTACATTGGAGGTGTTACCCAGTCCGCACCCGGAGTTCAAACTAATTTATTACCAATGACCGAAGTAAGTTTATTCGATTATTTATTCATTTAATCATTCACTTACAGTATAAATTACAAGTCTACCTGATAATCTCAATACAGATTCCAGTATTCGATACAATTTCTTCAACCTGGTCATCAAAGGTATAGTATATTCATATTATTAAATAATTACTGTTATATGCTGGAATTAATTAAAATAGCATATATATATATATATTTATACTATATTTCCAGAATGCAAGTTCGCCGTTTCTAGTCCAGCCCAGAGTTGGCCATACAGCAACATTAACACCAAATAATAAAACAATTATTATATTGGGTGGAACAACAAGTATGAACTTTGTCAATTTTCGCATATTAATAATTTTTTAATAAATTATAAATTAATTTAGTTACCCTTTTTTTCTAGGCTACGTATTAAACCAAACTGTTCCTCAACCTAATTATTTATCATTAGATATTTCAAAAGAACCTTATCAATATTCTGAGCTAAAACTTTCTGGAAATAACCCACCTTATTTATCATTTCATACTACTACATTATATAGCAATTACATGATCGTTGCCTTTGGTAAATGGCTATAATATTATTTCTATTCATTAATATACAACACTAACTTTTTTAAAAAATATATTTATGTAGGCAACATTACAAATGATGCATCACCATCATATGAAACTAGCCCAAATATATATTTATTGGACGTCAATTGTCTTGCGTGGGCAAACAAATTTTCAACTGATAGTTCTAGTTGCCCTACACCTTCACCGTCTTCACCATCACCATCAGGACCAAGTATTGGATTGATTGTTGGCTTAGTACTTGTAGGACTTTTTGCAATAGTAGTGGTGGCAGCAATTATATGGTTTATACAAAAAAAAGTGAAAAAAAGGAAAAAATCGAATATATTGAATGCGTATCCGAGTAATGGGTATCCGAGTAATGGGTATCCGAGTAATGGATATCCGAGTAATGGATATCCGAATGGGTATCGTGCGGAATCATGCGCATAAAAAAAAAATAGGGAGTAAAAGAAGTGATGTGCGAATGCAAGTTTTTTACATGATGCATTATGCAATTCTGTATTCTGTACCCTATAATTAATTATTTAAATTACATTCCAAATTATGTCATTGATTAGATAAAAATATTATAATTGAATTGTGATATTGTCAAAGATACTTTTGTTATATAATATTTAAATAACCATTTTGTTATAATAGTATTTTTAACTATTGCCATCACTTTAATAAATTAAACCATATTCAGATTAATATAGTGTAACAAAATACAGTATTATGATTATTATAGTATATAAATAATTATTTTTGAATATTTTAGCCAGGGGTAATTTAGCCGCCCTATTAAATTTAGTATTAGAGTGCAGTTTTAGGTTTTTTTTTTATATGTTAATGTTCTGACTTTAGTTTCGTAAGGTTTTCAGAAGATAGAATTTAATAAAAAAATTTTTAAAAAATTTTTATCAAATTCTGTAGTTGTCAAAAAATTTTGGTTTACATTTTGAATGAAAATTATTTGACAACTACTTGATAGAATTTGATAAAGTTTTTTTTAAATGTAAATTTACTATTTAATAAAATTTAGTTAAAAATTTTTTCATTGAATTTTATCAAAAAAGTTTTATTCAAAGTTTAGAAATTTTCTGTTATGCTATTTTCTTAAGGGCAGTAAAAATTTTTTCAAACTTTAAATAAAATTTTCTTAATAATTACTGTGTCTATCAAAAAAAAAGCTCAATTTACTGGAGTGTTAAGAAACCAATTCTATTACCAATGAAAAACATTTAGCTATTGTATCTCAGCATATGTTTTATAATATACTAGTTACATGTTATTTAGAAATTATTAATTTAAATAAGTTTAATACAGAAACAATTATATTAGATTTAAAAAATTTTTTATTGATAAAAAATTAGAAATAAAAAATTTATTATTTTTTATAGTGATGGGCTGCTGCATTAGTTGGTAAAAAACAGTTATTAAATAATTTCAAGAAATTAATCCATTTATTATATTTGTTCCTGGTATTATAAAGACTATATTTAGCTAAAAAGATGTGGCAAAACATGTTTTATTTTTTTATCATTATAAAACTTGTATTAAAAGATTATATGTCTATTTTTCAAGTTCTTATTAATATATGCAAAATTTAAAAATGATACAAGATATATTAGAAGGTTCTTAATTAATTATTCTTAATATAGTTAATACAAGATAGCTATCAATATCAATTAGTGTAAAAAATTTGCATCAAATATTGGATTTAGTAATTGAAGCTTTACACTATATTACTGAATTAGATAAAAAAATATCAAGCAAAAAATTTACTTAATAAATTAAATTATGAATTTGTTATTGCTACTAAATATCTTGCAATTTAATATTTATATTAACAAAATTAATTAATATTTTTTAAAAGAACTTATGAGTTTTTCAAATATTAATATTTATTTGAATACAACATATGATTCAATTACTACACAATTTATTGGAATTGATAATTGATTCTGTATCTTTATATAGTACTTATTTACAAAAATATATATTTCTTCAGAAAACTTACTTTCATTTATTAAAAGCTTTTCTGAATCAATTATTAGCAATTTACAAAAATATATATTTCTTCAGAAAACTTATTTTCATTTATTAAAAGCTTTTCTGAATCAATTATTAGCACTTTAAAATTAAAATTTTCTCAACTAGATTTATATTATTCTTTTAATATATTTAATTAAAAATTATTACCAATAAAAAAAATTATCCAGGAAACTATAGCAATCAAAAAATTGAAAAACTTACTACTTATTATAGTATAGATAGATTTGATAGCAAAAAAAATATAATTGAGAAAATAATTAATAGTGACAATACAAAACAGGAATAGGCAATATCAAAATATTATATAAAACAAATTAGAGACCAGAATATAGTTGGAAAATGGAGTATATTTTTTAATTTGTATTAAGACTTTTTTAATAAATTTAAAATATTACTAAATTGATTAATTATTGCTTCATCAAATACACAAGTAAATATGTGAAAAAAAAACTCTTTCTGACAATCATTTGGACCAAAATTTCTCACTAAAAGAAAATAAACTTTTGTTAGAAAGTCATCATAGTCTAACATAATAGCTTGTCTAGAGGTCAATAGTTTCTCTGTTCTGGGACTCCTCTATAAGTTGTGTATTCGATATGCAAGCCAAGAGTGTTGGTAGACAAGATAACTGGCAGGAGGTGTGCGCCCTTGGATACAAAATCTTGGTGAAGAGACTGGTGTCTTCTTCGTTGACAAAGTTACCTAGGCCGTTTATTCCTAAAGGAGAACACAGGGGAAACAACAAAAGTAGATTTTTAAACCGCACTCTTTTACTTGGCCAAGTGGTTCCTTCTTTACTCCTACTCACCTTCCCATCAGTCTTCCAAAATTTTTTCAAAAAAAGTGGGGATTTGGCTTACTTCCGTCAAAAGATTGACATTGTTTACCTCCAAATCCAGATAGACCGGTAGATGGCAACACGTGTCTGAAAATAGATATGACATTCAAGTGCTGGAACAGATTCCAGTCAAAAAAGAAATCACTGATTGTGGCAGCAAGTGGCTTGAAATATGGGTCTACGGACAGCAGAAGCACCTACTTGAGATACGAATTAGGTTTACAGAAAAATACAGAGTTGGGTCTGAAAGAAAAATTAATGATAAGGCATAGTCTTATAGTAGAGATATACAGATGTTGCTCTTGTATATAATTTTTATCAACCTGGCACAGATTATAATAGTGTACCTTCATTTCTTATATGTGTCAGATTCACCTGTCTTTTTTTTGTTTTTTTCATCTTTGTTCCTTTATGTATAGATAGAGTTTAGGGTTTTTGTTCGATTCTTGTTTGTATATGCCTTAAATTTCCAGTCTTTTGTATATTTTCTTCCCTTATACAAACGTAAGAGATTTAATTATTCTGCCAGGATCTAGGCAGAAAAAGTTTTAAAGGAAGATGGGTGATCTTGACAAGATATACAACAATCTGTCCGTGATCAAGGGGGGTACTCTTGTCAGTACAAAATTCGACACAAGTGTTGAATCTTGAGTGAGACTAATAGTTGTTATAGCAGGTCACATTGGGCATTTTGCTTGGTGAGTTTTTTTTATTAGATTAGAATATTATGCTTTAAAAATGCAAGTGCTTTGTACTTTCATTAATAAGCAGTTCCAATGAATAAAGACAAGATTCCTTAAAAAAAAATAATAATAATACACAAGTTAAAAAAATATTTTCTTAATATAAACTTACTAAAACATAGCTAAGAAATAAAATAAATACTAAATCATTAAAAGTAGAGAATATATAAATCATTTATCATATGATTTTAGTAATATAAATGTCATATAATCTCTATTTGTATAATGTTGTTATAAAACTGGACCAAAAGCCAGATAGGATGTTATTAGCAAATCTCTTTTTATATTTTTAGATTAAAAATAGTTAATTTATAAAGTTATTTGAAATATTATATTATTTGGATTAGTAGTTTTTGAGAAAATTCTTAAAAACTATAAATAACTTTTATAAAAGTTTTTTAAAATTACTAATTCAAATTATATAAAATTTTAAATAACTTCATAATTAACAATTTTTAATCTAAAAATATAACAAATTACAAATTTTTAAATATTTTGTAATCTAGTAATTAAAATAAATTTTGTTAAAATTTGCTAATTATGAGAGATATTTTGGTAATAAAATTATTTAAAATAAATTAATAATTTAAATTTATTTAGCTTTAAAAATAAAAAATTTTAAGCCTATACTAGTGCAGTCCGGAGATATAGTATAAATGTATAGTGCTGATTACACCTTTTATAGAAATAGATCATCACTTTATTGATTCTGGAAGTTTCTAAAATATTGAAGTATCGTTAAGCTTTTTTATTTCCACTTTGTTTTTAAATTTATTTTTTTATTTTTTAATATATTTTTGTTATTTTATTTATTAATTTTAAACTAATTGCTATAATACTAGATTAAAAATTTAACTATATACCACAGTACTATAATACAATATTAGAAAATCTAATTCTAACTACTATAAAATTACAATATTAAGTTTTTGCATTATATTCAAATCTATCAAACTCTTGTGCTATGTCATAAATCTACCAAACTCTATGTTACGTTCTAAATCTATCTAAAGCTTGTGCTATATTCACTCTAAATATACCAACTCAACTCTTATACTACATTCATCCCAAATCTTCCTATCTAACTATTATGCTATAATTGCTATACTTATTCCAATTATCATACTAATTATTGTGCTAGATTCCAAATATTATACTAAGTTTGTTACTAACTATTATACTACGTTCGTTTCACATTACAATTATCTCAATTATTGTATCACATTCATTTCTAACTATTATACATTCTCAATTAGTGTGTCACATTCATTCCTAACTATTATATATTCCAATTATCATGCTATGCTTGTTCCAACTCTTATATCATGCTTGTTTGTACTTGCCCTAACTATTATGCTACATTTGTCTCTAATTTATCTTTATACTATGTTTGTTTCAATTATACTATATATGATATATATTTAATAATGTGCTACATTTGTCTCAACTATTGTGCTAAATTCTGTTTCTATGTTTGTCTTACTTCATTCTATGTTTATTCTTGTGAATTATTTAACTTACATAATTTTCACCCTATTTATACTTCGCTTGCAAGTTTCTAAAGATTAAACGATCTAAAAAGCTATTTAGTATATATTTTTTAGTTCTTTTAACTTAACAATATACAAAAATAAACATAAATTTATGTTCTCATTTACCTTTTTGAGAACAACTTACTATGCGGGATTATTTGGGATTATTAAAATTCATTGCTTTTACTATCTGTTCATATATTTAGCAACAAATAGATAGATAAAATCTTGTAAAACCCTAGCACGAACATGTGCATAAAAAAAAAGCGTAGTGCCCAATCA